TATTTTCCTTTCAATATATTGTTTTTTTAAAAAAAGAATTATTCGAATTCTCAAATGGAATGCGGAACATGCATTGCGGAACAATTCGATCACAGCTGAGCAAAGCTGAGCAAATTCGTTCTCAACTGTTGTTCGATGAGACTTTCCGCACCAATCTGGCAGTATCGGCGAAGCTATACACGGAGGATTATTCTCGGAGATTTTCAATCTACGTTCTTCGCATCGCCTGCTTTCGGATTTGTTTACGACGTGCCTGGACCACGCCGTAGACCACCGCGGCGAGACTGCGGCATGTGCTCCTGTGTCTGGGAGTGCCTTCCTGCTGTACGGTACTTTTGCCCAGCACGAAGTACGTCTCCATTGTGCCTTTCCCCTTCACCTCGATTAGTCCGCGTTTCTGCGTCTGGTAGCCCCTCGATTCCAGAAACTGCCCACATTGATGAATAAATCAAAAGAGCGATTTTAAAGAATAAAATTTAAAAGAAGAAACGTGCGGGCATATTAAAATGTCTTTTTGCATTTATCGGAGTACAAGAAATTAAGATACGCAATTTGTATATAAATGATAGTGTTTTTTTTTTTAATTATAAAAGTTATCGCTATTATTATTATTACCCTGGCAATATCGTGCGGCACTTGTATCTTGCCCATCACCCCGGTGGAGTCCATCCTGGAAGCTTCGTTCACGGTATTGCCCCATATGTCGAAGACCGGCTTTCGGGCCCCGATCACGCCGCCCACGAGGGGCCCGCAGCTGATGCCCACTCTCAGATCGAAGTTATTGAACGAGTGAACGTTCACATCTTCGAGGCGATGGCGCATGGCCACCGCGTAATCCACCAGTCTGCACAGGTGCTCCATGTCGTCGCCGGTATTCTGCTGTCCGAATTTTATTTTTATATCGCATAAATATTTGCACATAAATTTTTTAATGAACTTAAAAACCTCAAAGATATACGGGATGTTTTAGAATTATTAAAGATATCTCTTGGTCAGCGCTTTTCAATTTTCCTTTCTCGCGTTACATGTCTTTGAATTCAAATTTGAATTGAAATTTGAATTTCACTGAGCTTAAAATTTTTATTGAGAAAAAGATCAGGTTTAACCAAAGAATTTTTAATGAAATAAACTGGTGATTTTGCAATTTGGTTCCGTATATTTCGTTGAGGCATATTATGTTGCGTTATATTTTATGTTATTATTACGGTTTGGCTAGGATTCAGACCCGACGCAGCCATATAAGTGGCGCCAACCGTCTTTATCTTCTCAATGCAATGAAACGGCGTTTCGTCCAGCAGTTCGTCGAAATCAGCTATACAAGTATGATAAATAAGTTATTTATCATTATCAAAGTATCGAAATGTTACAAAAATATGAATTAGTGGAAGATATATATTAATATACATTGACTTTAATATATTATGTTAATTAAGGCGAGATTGATGGATTGCCGTACCGATGATCTCGTTAAGTAGACGAATACACTCCATTCCCTTGTTTACGTCTTCCGAATAGAATTCTGTAAAGTTCGGCACGCTGGCGAACATCACACCGACCTTGTCTCGGGATTGCGAGTAGAGTTCCTGCATCGACGAAAAGATACTAAGTAACGATGTAGCATATTTTGTTAAAGAAATAAGATTGAGTCTTACTTCCGGCGCACGATCCGCCGTGAGGAAGTGATGCGCCACGTGGTCCGGCAGGATGTTCTTCAAGAGCTGCATATTATTATGCCGCGACTCAATCATGTCGCTTAGCTCTCTCTCAGCTTGCTGTTTCCACAGGAAATCCAGACGCGACGTCACTTCCACCAGTCTGCCGTGGTATGTTACCATCACGAGGAAGACTGTCAGAAAGGTCAGCATCTGCGCCGGTAAAGATATCGCCGATCTGAAAGAGAGATTGAGGATGATCGAGCGATGAATGATGAAAACTTTTTGATTATTATTAAATTAAAAATTTGAAGTTCTAAGAATTAATTTTAAATTAAGAATTAATTTTACTCCCTCGCCGTCAAAATGCAAGTTTAATATTTAAATAATTTTAACAGAGATTATTACACATTTTACAAAATTATTTCATTTTTAGTGCTGAAGAAAATTTAATTGTGGAAGATGCTAGTTTTCCAATCTTTTAACAACTGACACAAACGACTTACGCGTTTCTTTCTCTGTCGGTGAACATGTCCTTGCACACGACAAGGATCAGCACTGCGTACACCAGGACGATCGCTGCGGCCAGCGCAGTTTTCACCAGGTAATATAACTTCAGAGCTGAAGCGAGCGCGATCAAACACAGAATCCACGTGAACACTATATATTCGGGCCGAATACAGGCGGTCTGCTCGAGTTCGTCGGGATTTTCTAGAGTCAACCGCTTTAGACGGACTTGATCTTTCTCCTCGGCCACGGAGAGGATCTTTCTTTGGAAACCTCCTTCGGCATCGCGTTTGCGCGCGATTCGTCTGTAATGTCTTCCGGCCTCTAACTTGCCATAATGCTGCTCGTATCTGCAATGATATTAATCATTCATAGTCAATAAGAGATCTTAATATAATTAGGATATAAATAAATTTTGCATAATTTCTTGTAACTGTTTCTGCAATCTTCGAATTGCTTCAATTAACATTTATACATGAACTTGACTTTAACGTCTACAAATTCTACCTGTAGAATCTGAAGAACTCCCTTCTGCTTCTTCCGGGCGCTCTATTATCTACTACTCGCGTTAGCTTCAACTCTATATTGCTTGAGCCCTTTTCTATAGTGTTGTTCTCCGTCGAGGATACGAGTTTTTGTCTCTCAGCAGACTCGTCGCTTAGGGCAGCTTCTAGGAACGTAAGGACGAAGTGATCCAAACTCGATGTCGAGGTGGTCGCTGTCAACTTCTCTTGTGCCGGTAGCGGTTCCGCCGCGATTGTCGTCGGTATCTGCTGTTGTTGGCGTTCGAGCACCATTACTTCTTGGTAAGGGCGTACCGTGATAGGACATGTCAGCACGCCGATAATGGACGTCAATGTCATCAGGCTAATAACACCGCAAATGAAGATAGTACGATGCTTTTTGTTATGCACCAGCATAGACGACGTATGCTGCAGGTACGTCGGCATACTTTTGAATTCTTCCGCCATTACTAGAATTGACGATGCCACCAGGATTACCGTGGTCACCAGCAACGAAATCAGAAGAATCATGCAACTGCAAATAAGAAGGGAGGATAAGCGTCACGGCGGGGCCCGACCACGAACCAGTCGTGAAAACTCGTAATTATTTTGCGAAAAAATATCACCTCAGGAATCGAACCTGGATCTCCTGCTTATCGGGCAGGCAAACTTATATAAAAAAATTCTGCAGAAGTAGTCGATGCAATTAACGATAAGACATATAAATTTTATTTATATATTTATATATTTTATCATCAATTGCATCGACTACTTCTGCAGAATTCTTACCAATCACGATAACAATATTAATTTTTCTTTATCGATCAAAGAAGTTAATATGTCCTATAGACGATTAACGAAGACGATGACATCTACGAGATAAGTTTGAAGAGACGGCTGTTAAGCTAGAAAATAATCTGACGAATATTCTCGCAGTGCAAGCAACTCAGTTATCAAAAACCTCTCCCGCTTACATATAACCCTGTGGTGCGCATGCTTGTACACAGGCATACGAGACCTACAATTTTATGC